TATTCAAGCATAAAAAAAGGTTCAATTATCATCCAATTTCTTCATTGAGCTTGTTAATTAGCTGAGTTTAATTTTTATGTAAAAAAATGTGAAGTTTGAGCTGAGTGCTTAGGTATAGCTTTGAGTACTTATACCAGCACCAAGTGTTGGGTTATTATATCTCCGAAGCAGATCTTAAGACACCAGGTTGCACCATGCTGGAAAACTGACATGGACACACACACACACACACACACACACACACACACACACACACACACACACACACACACACACACACATGCTCACATACACAGACACACACACTCTCTCACACACACACACACACGCTCACACACACACACACACTTTCATGTTGTAATGAAATCCTCAGCTGCTTTGATTACAGAGCTCACTTTAAAGCACAGTGGAGGTGAAGAACTGACCCTTTGAAGATGCCACCCCCCCACACACACACACATACTCACACACTCTTCTCACCTCTTCACTTCCTTACAACCGTACAGCACCTCCCCCCAGCACTCCTCTTTATTTAGTCCTTCTTCAGCTCCGTCCTGTAAGCTCTCTCTTTAGTGCTTCATTTTGTTTTCTTTATTATGCATATGTGGAGAACCTTTGGAGAACCTGTGGAGTCCGGTCCCGACTCAGCAGCTTGTAGCTCCTCCTTCAGCAGCAGTAACCTGCAGTGATCGGTCTGTGTCATCACTGTGGGCGGGCTTTGGGCCGCTCTTCTTCAGGTCGTGCAACCCTACGCTGCCATGTTGTTTTAGAGAGAGTCTGAGGTCTGACCTCAGGGTGAATTTTTATGGGACGTCCACTCCTGAGAGGATTGTGTGTTAACACAGCAAGACCTGCAAACTGCCAAAACCTGTGCTTTCATAGAGGAGCTCAGGCTGACGATGATGATGACTGTAGAGGTTGGTGCGCACCTCGATAGGTGGCTGTGTCAGTAGGTAGCGAGGTGCTTGAAGGGGGAGGTAGTGTGTTGTCCACTTTAGTGTTTAGGAGGCGTTTTACTGCTTCGTGCAGCAGAGCAAAGCTGAGTGCAGAGAACAGAGGGGGGGCAGCAGGGTGGGCCTTCATTCTTCCTCACAATCATGTTCTGCTATTAAACTCATGAGGCAACCGCGCACGCTCCCACCGCCGCCGCACTGCCAGCGGTCGTTACACAGCGATGTAACACGTGCTCATTAGCTGTTAGCATAACCAGGACTGTGAGTCTGTGATGGAGGAGCAGGCGGACAGCTGGAGTCTGACAGGCTACTGGTCCTCCCCTCTGTCCTCCCCTCTGTGTCCTCCTCTCTGTGTCCTCCTCTCTGTGTCCTCCCCTCTGTCCTCCCCTCTGTGTCCTCCTCTCTGTGTCCTCCTCTCTGTGTCCTCCCCTCTGTGTCCTCCCCTCTGTGTCCTCCACACTGTGTCCTCCACACTGTGTCCTTCCTTCTGTGTCCTTCCTTCTGTGTCCTCCACACTGTGTCCTCCACACTGTGTCCTCCCCTCTGTATCCTCCCTTCTGTGTCCTCCTCTGTCCCCTCCCCCTGGCCCCTCCCCCCTGTGTGGGCGTGAGCAGCTCTGAGTTCTGACGAAGTCCTCACCGAGATTATGGGCTGAGATGGCGTTCCCATGAATCCTCCCGTAAATTCCAGTGAAGATCGAAGGTTTTCCTGCGGGAGAACAAATTCTTCCTGATTTTATTACTGTGATAAACTCAGCTGTCGAGCTAAAGGGAGCAGCCGGGCTGTGGTTCTGCTTCATTTCCATGAAAACGATCACTACAACAACAAAGTCCAATGAACGCAGCTCGGGGAGACGTCACTGCTGAGCGGTGGCGTGAAGCCCGACCGACACCGTGAGTCAGGCAGACGTGCAAAGAACAGCTCGTCACGAGTGGACTGAGGAGGGAGGTGAAAGGTCAGGCAGTCATTAGCTCTTATTTTTCGTCGCATTTCTTTCACATGTGCCATGGAGAAAAAACATGCACATGTCAAAGGTCGTGCAGCACAGGAACAGGAGACCTGAGAGCTGTGAGAACCAGCACAGCTCCACTTCCCCTGCCTGTAAAAAGTTCATGTTTTTAAGTTTTCAGGTGAAAAGTCGTAATGCTGTCATCAACACTCATCTGTCACTTTGTTCCCGTTACACGCACACAGGCCACACCCCCCACCTCTGCAGTAGTAGATGTTTAGGATCAGGATCAACCGTGTCGTAAAACATCTCAGAGAGTTTAAGAAAGCTCGCGTTGCCGGGCGGTGCTCGCAGAGATCGTCTCACCTGAAGCTTGAACCGTTTGCTGCCCCAAACACTCACCTGCTGACCACGCCTGTCCATGTGAAGCAGGACGGGCTCCGCCCCCGAGACACGTCTGAATACTTCTACAGACAGCAAACGTTTATCCTTTCTGTGTGTGTGTGTGTGTGTGTGTGTGTTACTAATGATGCTGATTATCTCTCCTTCCAGCTATTTGTACAAGAATGAAATCCAATCAATTGACAGACAAGCATTTAAGGGGCTTGTCTCTCTTGAGCAACTGTAAGTGACCTACTTCCTCTTCCACCTTTTCCTTCTGCTCGCAGCACCACTCCTCCTCCTTCTCTTCTCCAGCTGTAAATGCCTCCACCCCCTCCCCCCTTCCTGAAAAACAAACACTCCATAAAGCCTGGCAAAGTCTCCGTCATGTGACGTGTTATCTGCGAGCATGTTCTTGTGGCATGACTGCAGACTTTGCAGGTGTCATGTTTCCCCCACAGTGTGCTACGCCCACCCTTCATCCACCTTTCTGCTGCCACCGTGCATGCCGTGACTGCAGCCCCCTCGCAGCTGCGCTTGCCTCCCGTGACCCTTTCTGCATGAGTCACCAGTGTTTCCCCCACAGCTGGTTTGTGTTAGAGGTGGGGGGGGGGGGGGGGGTGGGGAAAACACTGGTGACTCATGCAGAAAGGGTCACGGGAGGCAAGCGCAGCTGCGAGGGGGCTGCAGTCACGGCATGCACGGTGGCAGCAGAAAGGTGGATGAAGGGTGGGCGTAGCACACTGTGGGGGAAACATGACACCTGCAAAGTCTGCAGTCATGCCACAAGAACATGCTCGCAGATAACACGTCACATGACGGAGACTTTGCCAGGCTTTATGGAGTGTTTGTTTTTCAGGAAGGGGGGAGGGGGTGGAGGCATTTACAGCTGGAGAAGAGAAGGAGGAGGAGTGGTGCTGCGAGCAGAAGGAAAAGGTGGAAGAGGAAGTAGGTCACTTACAGTTGCTCAAGAGAGACAAGCCCCTTAAATGCTTGTCTGTCAATTGATTGGATTTCATTCTTGTACAAATAGCTGGAAGGAGAGATAATCAGCATCATTAGTAACACACACACACACACACACACACACAGAAAGGATAAACGTTTGCTGTCTGTAGAAGTATTCAGACGTGTCTCGGGGGCGGAGCCCGTCCTGCTTCACATGGACAGGCGTGGTCAGCAGGTGAGTGTTTGGGGCAGCAAACGGTTCAAGCTTCAGGTGAGACGATCTCTGCGAGCACCGCCCGGCAACGCGAGCTTTCTTAAACTCTCTGAGATGTTTTACGACACGGTTGATCCTGATCCTAAACATCTACTACTGCAGAGGTGGGGGGTGTGGCCTGTGTGCGTGTAACGGGAACAAAGTGACAGATGAGTGTTGATGACAGCATTACGACTTTTCACCTGAAAACTTAAAAACATGAACTTTTTACAGGCAGGGGAAGTGGAGCTGTGCTGGTTCTCACAGCTCTCAGGTCTCCTGTTCCTGTGCTGCACGACCTTTGACATGTGCATGTTTTTTCTCCATGGCACATGTGAAAGAAATGCGACGAAAAATAAGAGCTAATGACTGCCTGACCTTTCACCTCCCTCCTCAGTCCACTCGTGACGAGCTGTTCTTTGCACGTCTGCCTGACTCACGGTGTCGGTCGGGCTTCACGCCACCGCTCAGCAGTGACGTCTCCCCGAGCTGCGTTCATTGGACTTTGTTGTTGTAGTGATCGTTTTCATGGAAATGAAGCAGAACCACAGCCCGGCTGCTCCCTTTAGCTCGACAGCTGAGTTTATCACAGTAATAAAATCAGGAAGAATTTGTTCTCCCGCAGGAAAACCTTCAATCTTCACTGGAATTTACGGGAGGATTCATGGGAACGCCATCTCAGCCCATAATCTCGGTGAGGACTTCGTCAGAACTCAGATCTGCTTTCTGTCCCAATCAGAGCTGCTCACGCCCACACAGGGGGGAGGGGCCAGGGGGAGGGGACAGAGGAGGACACAGAAGGGAGGATACAGAGGGGAGGACACAGTGTGGAGGACACAGTGTGGAGGACACAGAAGAAAGTAGAGCAGGGCGATATGGCCAAAAATATTTATCACGATATATATTTGAAAATTTGTGATAACGATATAACTGACGATATAATTGATGCGAGACAAAATACAACTCCACAACATTACTAGCGCAAAAAGACAACCTTCCATTTATTTTCACTTAAACAAGAAGCTGGTTTTTATGTACATTAAAGCTTTATAAAAATGTAACAGTGCAAATGCAAATTCCTTGCTGAAAGTTTAACCAAAAGGCATTTCCAGTAGAAATGGGCTGACATATCCTGAGCATAACCATGTATAATATCCACTGAAGTTAAAAAGAGGTGCTTTGCAACATTAAACTGCAGTGTGCAGTACGTATTTTTCGGACCATAAGGTGCACGGGATTATAAGGCACATTAAGCGAAACAAAGCAGTCAGATAAATCAAACTTTATTAAACTCATTCTTCTTGCTTCCTCCACTTCTGTACCATTGATTCATTAATGTTGAATTCTCTGGCAGCTGCTCTATTCCCATGTTGTTGCAGTATATTAATGACTAACCTCGTATTGTGGATGGATTATCTCAGTTGTTCTCCTGACTGAAGATTGGTCCTTTTACAGCATCCTGCCATGCGATTGCATTTGTCTCTAACCACGAGGAACCTTAACGTTAACTTTTATAAGTGGAAAAGTGTTAGTGTTTGTCCTCCAGCTTCACTGTTTATGTTATGCTAACATAGCTGTGTCGCTAGCGATCACGTAGCACATAATTATATACCAGCTAGCCCAACTTCAGTAACCCTACAAACGTCACTGCTGTTTAGTTTCCTGTCTTCATTTATGTTGGAAGTGATAGCAGAGCTGTACGTTTGATTTTTTTCAGAAATCTCTCAGTCAGAACATGCTATATCATGCTTAGGTAACTAGCGAAACTAGCGAGCTAACTTCCGCTAGCTTCCTGCTAGCTTCTAACTCCGTTAAATGTAATACATTTTGTTTTCATGGATGCCTGGAAGTTAAACTTCATAGTTACACCTGGTAAAGCAGCAATGCTGATCGTTTTATTAAAGATGAAAGAATTTAGACAGTTTTTAACTCTTAGTGATGCTGCAGTGTTCGTTTGACCTGAAGCATACGGAGTTTAGGACCCAGATTACTCCCAGATTTAAGAGCATCTTAGTCCGACGGCCGCTTGCATGTTCTGCAAAAAAATGTGCTTTGTCGTGTATCTGACGGACAAACACCAAACCAGTTCCACATCACTGAAGTTGCACCATTTTTACAAACCAATTCTGGTTCATCTGTTTCACTCAACAATCGGCCATGTGCGTATGAAAACAAAGGCACTGCGCATGCGCGTTTTACTCATATTCTATCGCGATATTTCATTTTCCTATCGTTGCCTAACATTATACCGGTATTACCGTGAACGGTATAATATGGCCCAGCCCTAGAAGAAAGGACACAGAGGGGAGGACACAGAGAGGAGGACACAGAGGGGAGGACAGAGGGGAGGACCAGTAGCCTGTCAGACTCCAGCTGTCCGCCTGCTCCTCCATCACAGACTCACAGTCCTGGTTATGCTAACAGCTAATGAGCACGTGTTACATCGCTGTGTAACGACCGCTGGCAGTGCGGCGGCGGTGGGAGCGTGCGCGGTTGCCTCATGAGTTTAATAGCAGAACATGATTGTGAGGAAGAATGAAGGCCCACCTGCTGCCCCCCCTCTGTTCTCTGCACTCAGCTTTGCTCTGCTGCACGAAGCAGTAAAACGCCTCCTAAACACTAAAGTGGACAACACACTACCTCCCCCTTCAAGCACCTCGCTACCTACTGACACAGCCACCTATCGAGGTGCGCACCAACCTCTACAGTCATCATCATCGTCAGCCTGAGCTCCTCTATGAAAGCACAGATTTTGGCAGTTTGCAGGTCTTGCTGTGTTAACACACAATCCTCTCAGGAGTGGACGTCCCATAAAAATTCACCCTGAGGTCAGACCTCAGACTCTCTCTAAAACAACATGGCAGCGTAGGGTTGCACGACCTGAAGAAGAGCGGCCCAAAGCCCGCCCACAGTGATGACACAGACCGATCACTGCAGGTTACTGCTGCTGAAGGAGGAGCTACAAGCTGCTGAGTCGGGACCGGACTCCACAGGTTCTCCAAAGGTTCTCCACATATGCATAATAAAGAAAACAAAATGAAGCACTAAAGAGAGAGCTTACAGGACGGAGCTGAAGAAGGACTAAATAAAGAGGAGTGCTGGGGGGAGGTGCTGTACGGTTGTAAGGAAGTGAAGAGGTGAGAAGAGTGTGTGAGTATGTGTGTGTGTGGGGGGTGGCATCTTCAAAGGGTCAGTTCTTCACCTCCACTGTGCTTTAAAGTGAGCTCTGTAATCAAAGCAGCTGAGGATTTCATTACAACATGAAAGTGTGTGTGTGTGTGTGTGTGTGAGAGGAGAGAGTGAGAGTGTCTGTGTTTGTGAGCGTGTGTGTGTGTGTGTGTGTGTGAGAGAGTGTGTGTGTCTGTGTTGAGCGTGTGTGAGTGTGAGCGTGTGTGTGTGTGTGTGTGTGTGAGTGTGTGTGTGTGTGTGTGTATGTGTGTCTGTGTATGTGTGTGTGTGTGTGTTGTGTGTGAGCGTGTGTGTGTGTGGCGTTTGTGTGTGTGTGTGTGTGTGTGTGTCGTGTGTGAGTGTTTGTGTGTGTGTGTAGGGGGGCATGTATTTCAGGAATGTGTATGTTTGCTCTCTGGCTTACTGAGTAGAAACGGCTGTGGGGTGGGGTGGGGTGGGGGGGATCAGGGACGTTTGGTTTCTACATGTTTCAGGTCACTTGGGCTCCATCATCTCCATGACTAAAGAGCGGTCAGCGGGGCTGATCTGGGATCAGAGCAGGGGAACTAAAGATGGCGTTAAGTTTCCGATGTTTGGCGCTGACAGTCGAGTTGAGCTCTCGGCTGCGAGCTCAGCTGAGGCCGCGGGACGATCGCGCGCGTGACTCACAAAGCCAAGCCCGAGGCTTCACACGCCTGCAGGTCACCCCGTCCAGACACATAAGTACAGAGGATCAGACAAAAGGAGGCCTTTCATTCGCACAATTTCCGCAACGCAGCCTCAGCCATCCACGGCTTCTGAAGCGCCCGGCGAGGCTTGTTCCAGCACGAGCGCCTTTCTGCTGACTGAGCGAAAAGCTTCTGAGAACAGTCTG